TTGTCTATTATCTTTATTTTGGGAAGTACTGTATTTGAATTTGAAAAGAATTGCTGTAGGTTGAGGTTTGTCTTTTTTTGCTTGCTTAGTGCCTGAAGTGTTCTCACTAGTTGAATAGAGGACTATTAACAACTGGACCTAAGAGATCCGACTTTGTTCTTTGCTGTGCTGCAAACATTTTGTGAGACTACGGGCAGTTCACTTACCACCATATCTTCATTCATTCTCTGAAGTTCCCGGTCTTCCTCTGATTCTGGAGGAGGATACAGAGCTTAATTTATTGTAGGTTCCTAACTTAGGTGCTTAACTATAGATGCATCTCACCTCATTGTGCTAATTTTCCACGTTACAAAACTAAGGAAAATAGCAATGTCCTGCCTTCTACGTACTGTGGAGGTAGATTGCAAATATTTTGGTATTTTTATATCTTGTGATATCTGAAATGGAAATTAGTTTCAAAGTGGCAAATCTTTGTTGTATTATGATCTTTTCAGGTGGTTCAAAACCAGAAGGGTTGTGTGGATCCCCTTCTTTCCCCAGCACTGCCAAACATGCTGGTGGATTAAATCAGGTAAGTGTCCTTTTTCTTAGATCTTTTTCTCTTTAAATGTTCTGAAGTCCATATAAAGTAACTAAAAGTAGCTTTACTTAAGCTTTCAAGGATAACCTTCTATTTGTTTTTATTGTGGAATGCCATAATTCAATTCTGTTGGTTCATCAATATGTATATGTTGTTTATAGGGAGTGCTTATACATGAAGAAAAAAAGAAACAAAAAGGAAAATTATTTTTGAGTCCCCAGTCAGGTTTGTATATCTTCATTTCAGTTCAGAAATTCTGCATCAAAGCATGTATTTTTTAACTTGCTTTCCCCATCAGTCCTTGTGGGAACTCTGCCTAATTAGCTGAAAACAGTAGCAGTCGGGGCAGGTTGCTACATAATTCTGAAGTGAAGCCACTTTTTTACTGGAGAAGTGTGAATTTTTTTCAGTTTTGTTTTGGAAGCAAAACTTAGGCGTGTCAGTTCTGTGCACTTTTTCCTTAATTCTGGTAGATTTATTTTGCAGGAGGATATGGTGGCTTTTTATCAGTCCCTCTCCTCTCTCCTGTTGCGGCATATGTGGGGTTCCGTGTTTCTTCAGGGACAACACATGGAGCGCTTTCTTGTGGAGCTTCCTCAGAGTAATTGTCTAGAATTCCACATGATCAACTAACTTGGGAGAGACTATCAAAGCACATCCTTGGTCTGAGCTGCCAAAATGCAAGGAAGTTAAAATTACACCTACATGTAGCACTCAGATGATAATATAAAGGCCTTTATCGACTCCCTGGATCAGAGATGTTTTGTGTTAGATGCATGGTTACAACTGCAGCTTCCTTACAGTAATTTCACACACCTGTTAACAAGTACAATAAAGCAACTGCTTTTTTTAATTACTCTGAGTTTCTAGTGCAACTGGGCAAACCTTTTAGCTGTTTGGTTTTTTTTCAATATCTCTCTTCTGGGGCACGTGAAGGGGGGCCGAAGTAGTCTTTACAAACTTTGGAAAGCTAAACTGCAATTAAGTATCTCAAATTAAATTCTCGGTTTTGTTGGGAAGACAGTGTTTTCTGTTTTCACTGCAAGGCTTTTTCAAATTCAAGTTTGGGGATTTTAAACACAAAGTGATCTGTCATTAGGAGTTTAGTTGAAAAAAATGCTAGTTTTCAATTTTGTATTTTAGTATTTCCTACTCTCCCTCAGCAGGTAATGATCTCAAGTTGATCTGTGTGCGTGCTTTCATTATAGTTTGACTTAACAGTAATTTTCTGCTGTCTGATTGTTTGAGTTGTTTTGTGTCTTCTCTTTTTTCCCTTGTTGTTTTTTTTTCAAACCTTTAAAGTGTGACGCTTTTTTCCTCCCAATCTTAGGCAGCCTTTCCAATAAATACATGACTCAGGGAAAAGCCTCACAGAAGAGGACCCAACAAGAATGATGAAGGATATCAAGCACTGTGAAGTTGCAATACAGACTCTTCATTCATTTAAAATTTTCTTTGGCTAAAGCATCTGGATTCACAGGACAGCAGCATAGACCACCCTTGACTTAAGTTTAATGAAATATGGGTGTTTTATTTTAGATTGCTAGTACAAGCAATTGTGGATTTTAATACAGACCCCTGCTCTTAAATAGATTGTTTGAGCATTGTAATAGAAAGCCATCATATTTTGTATTTGTTTACTAGGTAAATCATATAGAAAAGGGCAGGTACTAAAAATGGACTGTTTTCAAGGTTTTATGGTTCCACCTGACCATTTTAAAATGCACTAAAATTGTGTGCAAGCCAAATACATTATATTTTCCTCAAAAATTGTTTTTTTGAAGGAGCAAATGATATTTATTAATGTTGATTGTTTACTAAATCCTTGTGTAAAAGTGTTTGAAATGTTTGTAGATTGCTACATTATTTTTTTTTCCTGTAGACAACTGAAAGCATAGACACTAGTAAACGTATGTAAAACAGTTTCTGGACAAGCAGTGCCATTGAGATTTCTTGGGGTTTTTTTTTTTCTGTTCTGTGATTTTATGGGCGTTCGTTTGCTGCTGTGCTTGTGTACAAGAAGAAAGAAAGACTAAGGAACAGGTCAGTCCTGTTTGATGCTGCTAAGAATCTTTTCAAGGCCTTGGGGATAACAGACAAATGCTTTAAGAAATAGAGGTATTATATTTGGCAGCTGGGGAAACACATGTCCATTTTCATAAAATGTGAAGAGGATCCTTGTACCAGCCAAGAATTTAATTAGTAGTATGAACTTGAGCTTTACTTGAAGTCCTTCCAGAGCTGGTAATGTGCCGTCTTATCTCGTTCAGGAAAGAATTAGTTACATGGAAAAATTGAAACCACTGTTATTTATGACTTTAAAATAAATTGAAAAAAAAAAATCAGACTTAAGTTTCTTATTTCTTCTTAGATTGTAATTTTCAGTATTCCTGACTTAAATGTGGAATTATTAACTGAAAACTAGAATTATCTGTTTAATCTTTTTCCTTACCCATCTATTTTTATTAAAGCTGAAAGCTAGAATTGCCAAAGTGGTCTTAGGAAACTGGGATCCTAACTCCTGTTTTGGTTTTTGTCCATCTGTAGCCAGCTATATGTAAACTTCTGGTTGTACAACTTTTGCAAAAAAATTCTTTTGTATTCTTTCCTCAACATCTTTTCAAGCAAAATATTAGACAACAACAAACAGAAAAAAATTCCTACTTTGTCTTCTATAGCATATTTCATCATATGAAATTGTTTTTCCCTCAAAAATAAGTTAATTCTTTTAGTTTTTCATTCATATTGCCCTGAAAAAAGAAAGGCTGATAGGCCTTCTATATGCCTTATTTAGCCCTCTGTTCAGTTACTTTCAGTTTTGCTGATGGAAATGAAATGTGTAAGCCTCTAAGGGACTACAGCATAATCTCAAAGATAGAGTGGGCTGTGGTTTTTTTTCTTAAAAAAAAAAAAAAGTCAGATTTACGCACAACCGCCCTCTTCAGTTTGTGATACTTTGTTGTTTAGTGGTGAAGTTTTCAACTGTGACATTTCTAAACTCGCATCTGAATGCAAACTCGTTCTGAAGATCCACCAGTTTTCTCACTTTGAAGCTGCTGCAACTACAAATTCTATATAGTTACTAATCTTATAGCCCTAAAATAAAACCCCCAAACTTGAGTTACTTCTTACAAGCATTAAACCAGTAACTAATAAATCCTTTGTTTGCTTAAAGAGTAAAGAACACTGTCGTAACTTACAGAATAAACGCAGTTGAGGAGGCATACATATCTGCTGGATTAGTTTGTTGTAAAATATAGTAAATGGATTGAAAATTAAAACTGAAGAAAAGTAAGTTATTCATAACAATTTTTGATATCCAAGATCCTGCTTGCCTTACGGGAGTGTATTCTCAAGGGAAGCAACTTTCCACGTAGAAAGAAAAACTCTGAAAAGACACACTGCATTAATTAAAAGTTCCTAGAAAGAGAACGATATCAAAACTAATAGTACTAAACCAAAATAATAGTTTGCGACTAAATTCATAGTAATAAAATGTAATAAACCATTAGTTTAGTAGTATGTATTAAAAAACCTCTTCAGAACCACCTGTATACTTGGTCCTTCTAATGATACAGAAGGAGACCAAGTTGGTAGCACTATTTATTTGTGCTGCTTTTTGAATTTAAAAAAAAGAAGTGCTATTGTCATATTTCACAGGAAATTCACATGGTTTTTATGTCCCTGTTTCCAAAGTTGGAAATGTCTTGTGCTATGAGTAGTTAGTTACCAGTGCTGAAGAAAGAAGGACAAAATTCTGTTTCAGGTATGCAGCACAGTACATTGCCTGTTCAAGGCAGACAGTTAAATCTGTTAACTACACAACTACTAGACCAACGCACATCTGTCTCCCCTAGTTTAATTGTTCTGGTGATATTTCTTCTATAGCTATATTTAAAACCAGTTTCTCATCCATTAAAAAATTGTATTTAAATGTTTTTAACGCACAATGATTTCTTTTATAAACCTCATCACATTTTTATAAGAACTGCAGAAGCTGCATCAAAAATGATCTCTGCTGATAACTTTTGGGGACCTGAAATAGCTACTTAGAATAGGACCTTGCTAGCAAAGAAAGTATCTTTTTTTCTATACTTATAAAGTTATCAACAGTATTTCTTGTTATTCTCTGAAACTATTTAGATTTTAAGACTGACTTTTGCTTTTATCTTCTTCTGGCAATGTGCTGAAGCTGAAAATCGCCTTAGAAAGAGGCTGTTTTTCCAGCCGGTGCTCAGCCTGCCAGACCAAGATTCGCTGGGCAGGCAGCTGGCTGCAGGGCTGTGGTGGGAAGCGCAGGAAGGCGAAGCTCGTCACACCGGTGTGACGGATTGTGGATGACGGAGGAGACATCCGTTGTGTTCGCACACAAGCTGGCCCTGCTCCAGCCACACCCCAGACTGGCTTCAGCTGCGGTCTCATGGTGGCGCTGAGCCCCCTGCCCCTAAGCAGGGGTTTCACCGAGGTGCGTTTTGTGTAGCTGAAGAAAACACAGCTTTTTTTATACACTTGCTATCTTTACATTCCAGGTAGAAGTGCTGTGCCTCATTAAAGACTACTGGCATAATTCTGTACCAAAAAACATCCGCATGCTCGCTACCAGGCTCTTCAGGCCCAGGGCTGGGTACCCATAACAACGTGGTGACGAGATGGCAGACACAGATATGGCACAGGAAATACTCAATTGCAGACAAATCGAAACATTGCACAGTGCAAACAGTTTCTCTTAACACTGCTAAGCTTAACAATGTCTTATTTTACAGAATAAGTTTGAGGAAACAGGTAAGTATGAGGTAGTCTTTCACGATAACAAACATACAACATCAGGGTGGGTGTGACATGGGTATAGGTATGCAATTCTTCCCTTTCACGATTTGAGAGTTTTGAAAGGTCTAAATGATGGGTACCTTGGTCAGTTCTGGTTGGTGAATGACATGGCTCCGTCTTACACCATCAGGTGATGTGATGGGTATGAATTGCGTATTGGATACCACATGTCAGATTAACTGAACAAAACGGGATAATACATGGTAAAAACATTAAAGCAGCAACCATGCATAACAGGAATGCTAGCAATTGTTTTATCCATGGTGTTGCTGGTAACCAGGACCACAAATCACCAGTCCAGCCGTTCCATGTTTAGAGGGGGACATGGGCTACTTTCCTAATATCTTTGGTCAGTTGAAGGACCACTTCGCCCACGTCGTCTATCTCCACGCAACAGTTAGAAATATTTATTTCCCCCCGCTGCCTTCCGCTAACAGGTAATCCAGGACCATGCGATGTTGAAGGATTGCCGTGCGCATCTGTTGAGACTGCTGAGTTAAAAGGTCTGTGGCATCGGCGGTTTTATTAGTGATGATTTCTAGAGCCGCTTGCAATCCAATTATCTGATTTAAATTGTAAATTGGTTCCCTTGCTCCTGGTACTGGTTCATTGGGGTTCCAGGTGGTGGGTCCGTAATGCTGAATTATTCACTCAGGAGGTCACTCATCGCTCCCCCGTTTTTGTGTTCCACCCAAGTTAACCTCAATACATCGCATCTTATGGGCAACCCTTCTATCCCCCAGATCATCATATAGTCTTATCCCCAAACGAGGTCTGCCCACCTCCAGAAGGAGGAGAAACAAGGGCTGGATAATCCCTATGTAACAAGTCCCTGACCATTCTGCTGGTAAACGTTTATAGGCAGTGTGTCTGCAGATCCAACAGTGACTCCTTTTGGCCCTAGTGCCATAAGCGAATGGTCCAGCTGCCCCCTTTGGAAACTGAAAATAAGTTGTGTCCTTGTCATCAAAAGGGCTAAAAAACTCATCTGCGCTGTCATTAATTTGTCTGGTGCAATACCAGGCACCAGAATTGTTCTTCCACTCACAGGTTTGACTACAGGGGTAATAACTGGACCACTGGAGGAAGAATGTTTCAATTTTGTTTGACCAGTATCCTTTAAATCCCCGACTGCACCCGACTTCGTCAAGCCACATCCATATGTGGACACCTCTATCTTTATCAGCTAACTTACGGGTGAGTGTCCATTTGCACTTGCTCTCCCCAATGTTGATCCCTTCCTCCTCGACACGCTTTAAACAATATTGCCCAACAGCCGGAAATTGAATTGGCCACGTTCCGCTATCGCCCCACGTGTCATTCGTGGTCTCACTGTAATTGTTCACAATCTGGGCTGGAGTGAGGGGTGTGGATGTCCATGGCCAGCTCGATAACTCCAGAGGTCCACCGCAGACCCAGCAGTGACTCAGGTTAAAGGTTCGACTTACAGCCTTGGCTAACAACACAAACTCATTGTCCTTAAAGGGATCATAGGGATCAGTGGGAGGTGAGGGAATTGGTCTTCCATCACTTTCATAGATACATCCCCGAACCCGTGTGATCAGAAATAACATGCGCATTCTAATTAAGTTGTAATATGTGTCTGTTTCACTTTCTCCTGGAGGGTGTATCCAGGTCGCTTGCTCCTTCCGGGAAAATATGAAACAGACTCACTTCTCGGGTCAAAAGGAAGGAATAATCCACTTAGTGTGAATTTTATGGACCTTCCCACAAGCATCTCTCGCTTTCCAAGTGTATTTGTTCACCAGGGTGTCCAGTACTAATGGTACTGCTGCCATGGTGTGGAGTTCAACCAGGACAGGTTGCCCGGGGAACTGGAAGGGGCTGCCAGAGCGACCAGGGCCATGCCTCAGAGCTTGGGGGCAAAACATTGTAATGTTCGGGCACCCACTTGTTCCCCAGTGGCCATTGACGCTGGTCACTGCATCCCCCACCCGCTCGGCCCATCCCGGTTTGTGCGGTTTCAGAAATCGCTTTAGTGAACAGTTTGTTCTCTCCACGATCCCTTTTGCCTGCGGGTAGTACAGGGTGTGGAACACCCATGAAATTCCTGCCTGGGCGGCCGGTTCTCAAACCGTTTTAGCTGTGAAGTGTGAACCGTTGTCAGTTTGAATGGATTGCAGTTCAGGGAAGGCCCCAAACCATTCCTTCAGGGCCTTCACACGGTGCTCTCCCCTGCTGCCTTGGCACATGCTTTAGCCTGTGCGAGTCCAGATCCCGTTTAGACACCCACCAATACGTAACGTTTTCCCTCTGATTTTCAAAACGGACTGCTGTGATCAGCCTGCCAGGCCTCCCGCAGACCCTCTCCTCCTCTCGAGGGCAGGGGGTCGTTTTCCTGGGGGCGTCTGCCCAAACGGAAACGACGCAGTTCACAGGCCGCTCGCCCTCGTATTGTGTGAACGCAGATAAACACAGGCCCAAAGCACGGCCCAGCGTGTTCACGGGCGCGGCCCGAGGAAATGACGCCCGGGCACTTGTTTTCCCTCTGGCCCCACCGTCACTCGATTGGAGGTAACGGGCGCAGCCCGACTGTGCCAGGCGC